TTTTTTTTTTTTTGCGGGGGGAGGGCCTCCGGAGGGTCCTTATAATAAGTACTCTATGGTTATAGTATAACATAGAGCTTAATATAGGGGCCTTGATGCTTACCTACATATGATTTGGGGGGGGTCCTTATTATAACTATAGCATACTGGGCCCCCAAACCCTATTCTAATCATTAAGGACCCGTTTTTTTCTGGTCTCCACCGTAGTTGCAGTTGCGTAATTTTGGGGGTGACCCTAACAGTTGGGCTCAAGGCATATCTTCGGCTCAAGGCGTATCTTTCCCTGGGCTCCTGTAAGGGTTCCTTTCGGGGTATCATACAGCTTCCTATAATGGGTATAAGGGTCCATGTACCCAAGCAATACATACTTTGGCTTTGAAGTATATAGTCCCCATTGAGGCACTTTGGGGGCCAAAGCATAAACCCTAAACCCTAAACCCCAAACCCTAAACTCTAAACCCCTATTTGGGCACATGGACCCTTAGGGCTACTTTTTGAGGATCCTAACTACATAGCTATGGTAAAGCCAAGCTCTGAAACCTCGATCCTCCTTTTGTCCAGGGCATGGATCCGTCATAGACGCCTGTACTGCTATCTAAACCCTAAACCCTAAACCCTATAAAGCAAAGCCTGAAACCTAAAAGCATCGAACTGCCCAGGCCCTCATTCAGCGAGCCTCGATCCTTCTCAGACTGCCGCAGTCCACATGCGCCGCGTCCACAGTCGTTGATGTTATGGCAGGTGTCGATTCCCGCTATTTGGTGGACTTGGGATGTAGGGTTGTTGGCTTTAGGATGTTAGGGTGTTTCTTCCCTGGTTCATGGTGTGGTGAAGCTTAGTGCTTTCCTGTTCACGGCTTGGGGGTCTAAGGTTTGGTAGTTGGTTTTCTGGCTCTTGAGGCAAGATCTCTGGTTCAGAGTTGTGGACGGCAGTCGCCTGGTAAAGAGTTTAGGGCTCAGTTGTTAAAGGCGTTAGGGCTTGGGGCTTGGGGTCAGTTTTCCTTGTGATGGTGCGATCTCAAGAGTTGCCGCGCATTGAAGGTGAGCGGCGCGACGATCTTCCAGCGATTTTTCTTTCGGAGGTGCGAGAGCAGGAGTCATGCACGGTGTAGGGATCCAGTCTTTTTCGGAATTAGTGTAGAAAATAGGCGATGACAAGCTTGCATGTTCCCAACATAACATAGTAGAACAGGTAGTATGATGTGATATGATGTGATACAACATGATATGGTATGGTGTGGTATGATAGGGCACGATACGGTGTGTATATTTGTATGTCTACAGACAGGTGTGTGTGTGTATACAGTATACATATACATACATATATACATATAATATACACACATGGATGCACACATACATCCTACATACATATACGGGTTCAGGTGCATTGACATCGGCGTACACGTCATCCATATATGTGCAGGCATGTCTACAAACATGCATATGCAGATACGTACATGCATGCATGCAAGCGTGCATGCATGCAATTCCTGCAAGCATGCATGCATGCATGTACACATGTGTGTGCATACGCATGCATGCATGCATGCGTGCCACTTATACCATTCAACATATGTCCTTGTTTCGTTCGCTAACTTTGATTTGCAATTGGGACCCTTTTTTCAGGAAGCATGGCTACCTGAAGCGGAACTTCAGTCGAGGATCTAGGCAACTCTTGAGCAGATAGCTACATATGATACACAAAGCCGGAGCAAGCTCCTATTTTGAAAGATCTTTTCAGTTCTCGGGGTGAAATCGTAAGCTTCATTCCTGTCGGGTGGACGAAAGCGCTCTTTTTGTCAGAAGCGCGTTTAGTGTCTTGTGAGCTGAACGATTGAGAGTCTCAGAAGCTCGAAGTCCACACGAACTCAGTAATGATCTGCAGCCATTCGCTGTCCTTAACATAGCCTTGCACTATGAACCTCACTGTCGCACCCTATTCTACCGTGAGTTCGCTGCAGTCAGGCTCGTTCGGAAGACGGACATGAAACCTGGACCTAAACCGGGCCCTTAACTGCAACCTCCAAGATTTGAGCTTATCTTAAAGCTTACTCTGTGGGCACAGTTGAACGCATACACCAGAGGCCCTCAACTTGAGAGCTGCAGTACAATATGCAAGTATTTTATTAAAAAAAAGCCCAACAGACGATAAGTTGTAACATGCTGTAAGACCAGAGCCTTCAAACCCCGGCTAACCCTAAACCCTAAACCCTAAACCCTAAACCCTAAACCCTAAGTGTCTTGGGTGTCAGGTCGCTGGCAGACTTCGACATCCGTGTCGCAGCAGCGGCCAGGGACCAAGCGTTTCCTTAAGGGTCCAAAGGACCCAAGAATCAGGTACTTCGGTTCAGGGTTTAGGGTTTCGGATAGTAACTCGGATAGTAGTTATGTAGGTTACTATTTGGGAGAGTATATGATTATTAGGTGCGTGGACCCTGAGGGTTTGAGCATGTTATTCACGCTGTGCTTCTGTAACGCAGGGTTCATTGGGCTAATGTGTATACACGAAGAATGCAGTGCTTAGGAATGCTCACGAGTGTAGCTTCCGGTATGGGAGAAGTAGAAATAACCAAGCAGCATTTCGCAGGATCCTTTGACTGTTTGTGGACTAGCGTGTTTTGATGCCCACTGTTTTGAGGTAGTTGACTGCTTGAGGTTCAAGGTTTGGGTGAATCCGAATGAACAAAGACTCCTTGTTGCAGGGCCTGACTGCAATTGGGAAGGAACTCAAATTTTAAGGGTACGTCAGCTTCCCCTAAACCATAAACCCCTATGTAGACAAATACTTAGTTTCAGAGTAGGTAACCTTTAACCCTTTGGGGCCTATATAATACTACTATAGCTAAAAAAGTTAATCTGTTTTGGGCTTTGGGCTAGGGTACTCGGCCCCGGAGAATAGTACAAATCCCCCCGAAACCCACAGACCAACTCTCTAGGTAAAACCACTTACGTTCAGTCCGAGAATCCTTACACCCTAAACATGTCTACCCAACGCTCCATTGTAGTTCCTTTTTGGGA